CCAGGTGTAAGACCCATCTCAAAAATGGCGTGGCTTTCGTCGCCCATAGTTAGGGCAATGGTGAGCTCGACACGAATTTCTTTTGTGACCTGAAAAAAATGGGAAATTCCGACTGGAGGTTATGTTTTCATGGAATGTGTAGTTGCATCAAGCTCTTATTATATCTTGATCTATCTTGCACTACTATCGAACATTCGTGTCTCTGCGCGTGACTCGATTCTTTCAACGACATTTGGTTTTCCAATTATCGTCTTATAAAAAAAACAATTTAGTATATGTTTGCACAACATTACATTGCATGTCTTTGTAGCACGCTGTTTAAGTAAACCACAACTATCGATAATATTAGATATGTGAGAGATTGGTTTCTGTCGGAACTCGTATAAGTGAAATATAAAATCATTTAATTTCAAGATGTGATGTTGATATATAAAAAACCGATGGTAAACCATGGACAATTATCTAGTATAATTGCATTCTAGTTTATAAAATACAAATTTTGATTTTAACATTTTGGAAATATCATGGCACATACATGTAGGAGCGTTTGTAGTTATGACGCCTTCCTCTTTTGCGTGTGAGATAATACACTGTCACCCAAGCGATACATGTGCCAGAACACCTCGAGCGTCAGCAAGAGGTATTCAAGACATATTGCGAGAGGGTGGCAGTGTGTTTTTTGGCATACGTACCGGGGGAAAGTATTCGCGTCTCACTTATTAACGTAAGTGTTATATCAATAAAGTGTTGATCGCCGCGGGCATATAACATCTCTAGGTATGTATTGGTCTACAAAGGATCAAAGGGGAACACCTCGCCACCTGAACAATGCTGGCGCATTTTATTTCCGCTTTAGCGATGACACGAAGCATCTAGACAGTCGGCTACTTTCCAATTATGCCCTATACGTTTGGCAATGATTTAGGTCTACCTTTCCATGCCCAGCCTGACGAGTAGGGTAAAATAGCTATCGATCCTCTCACTAATCCACTCTTTATCAAATCTAAAAGGCGAATCAAAAGAACAAGAAAAAACAAATACATCACTCTCAACTCACCCTCTTAATCAATCGACAAGTTCCTCAACTCTTGCTGAATACTGCCAGTGCATCCCTAGCAGCTTTAACAATGTATGCTTTACCAACTTTATACTGAATTGACAAACGACAGTAAGAATGTCTTCTGCACCTCCGCAAGAAACACCTTCTGACTCTCGAATATTTACCTGTTTGTCATTTTTCTTGGCACCAGACCATCGTGCACATATTAGGACTTTCCGAACGTTTATTTTTAGCATAACGACACTAAGCGTGATATCTGACAACGCGGACACGAAGCTGACAATGGAGCTGTCAAATTAACCCTAAATTAAACCACTAGTAGAGTGCGTGTGACAAGGTCGTACCAATGGTGTCTCCTTTTTTCACATTGGGCGTTGTACGTATCGGTATCGAAAAACTTAAAATGGCCCTCACATACATGTTTACTATAAATTGTACCTTTACCTCTGAGAATGACATATATTGTAGAGGTAGATTCTTTATACCTATAATCGTAATAATTAGTGATTGGTGAGGAACGCGTGAAGAGCACAGCGGTATGTTAGATAATTCGTGGGGCATTTTGGTCCAAAGTAAAAATCACCAGTAACAAGAAACTGATTTAAGAAAAGTCTAATAATACCGGTACATTTTCCATGATAAATATTAACTGCAACATCGAGTAAAAAATTGATATAAAAGAGTTTTTACTTCTTATCCGTAGCTACACAAAGCATAAAGAATTGTATAGATACATGTAGCCACTCTGGTTATTACCCCCTCCCCACCCCCACCCCCCAAAAAAAGAATAATATACAATCACATCTCGTTAATCTTTAGCTGGTAACAGTGGTTTTGCAATCACTCGCCTTACCAGTCATAGCACGCGCCCTTCCCCTTCAACGGGATACGGTTACATAAGAAAAATCTGTATATCAAATGTCCTTTCAACCGGTATTTTGTTTTATTAAGGTTTGCAAACATCGGCTAAACCGTGGATACAATTTAATTTCTTGACATGCTATTGACACTGGTTCAATTTATCCGTAATTTACACACTACTGCCAGTCCTTATGTTTGAACATTGAGTCATACTTCCTGCATCTGCTATCTCCATAAGTCAAGAGCTTAAATTAATGTCCCAGTGTTATTTTATACATCGTGGGAGAATGCACCTGTCTTTGATCATCTTTAAAAAACGTTTAAATCGATTGTCAATGTTCAGCACTGTATTTTATTCTCTCTCCGCTGTACACTTTTTTGGGGGGTTAAACATATTTTCAAAATTTGTAGAATTTTTTTTTAAAGACAGTCTCAGCGCGTTAAACCCTTAAAATAGCACGAAAATGAATTTTCCTGGAAAACTCACCAATTTCCCCATAATGACCAAGGTATATCCTATCCAAAACCGTTCAGAAAATGAAGCTACCTAATACCGTTTTTAAGTTCCATTAAATAATAAAAGACGACTCGTCTTAAATACTCAGCTACCACCTCACAGTACGGCTTCAGAACGCGCAATTTCTCGCTAAGTCTCGCGGTTTACTATGAATGAAGTACTACGGCTGAGACCCGGATGTCACTATTTGGCGCCAAAACAACAAACATGGCTCAGACGCGCGTCAAGTCAGGCGCGCGTCAAGTCTGAACAGGAGAGCGNCAATGGAAAAATTAATTCAGAAAACATTAACTGCTGATTATAACACACTTCACCTTGTACTGTGATTTACCAATTTGACTGCAACAACTACTGCACATTAGCCCCTCCCATCCCCTAATTCTACCTGTGCCAGAAACTGCTGTTCAGCTTCCTGCAGTGCCTCTTCTGCTGACATGTCAAACTCTTGCATGTTTTCACAGACCACATCATCAAATGTTTTCTGTGTAATTCTTTTGGCCATGGCAGTCTGTAAATAATGCAATAACAACCTGTCATTATATAAGGATATCAGGATCAACACCAACACATATGTCAGCAGCTTACATTGTATGTATTCAAAATTAGTAGAAGGAAAAACGATATGGTAAATCAGACTTGGATAATTATTCAATGAACATATAAAACATGATGTAGTTGGTATCAAACTGTAAAAAAATTCAAATCCACCATACAAGTTTGCCCAAAATATTCAACTGTAAATTACAAATATATATAAGATGTCATTGTTAAAACCATACAAATGGTCTTAGTAAAGAAAACACGTTCATCATTTTTTATACATGTAACAAGCAACTATGTTAAGATATGTAGCAAGTATATGACTTAGTGTTCTGAAATTACAAATAGTAGTGATTAACAAGTGTATATGTTAGCATTTTATTATCATCATTTTTGCTTGGTTTAAGTTTATTATCACATTATAGTACTATCATTCATGTCCATCATTTTTACCAAATTATGTTTCAAATACATTCAAAACATGAATACTAATGTCGTGAATAGTAATTACTCAATCTTTTAATCTTCTCAAAAGGGAAAAATTATAAAAGTTTACAAATACATGATTTCAGAATCATTGAAAATATATTTCTTAGTTTCATTTGTGGTGTCTGTGCTTTTTCTGTAAAGAATACACAATAAACTATAATGTATGATCTTGCCTTTCAGTTCTGCTGCAACCACTCAATAGGACTGTTTTAATTTTAAGATATTGTGACTTAAAAAAAACACTTTCTGTGAAATTCACAATTTTCCCATTGAAAAGATCGAGTCATTACCGCATACTGCAGACACATGAGTCAGCAACTGACAATAGAAGTGTTAACCTCTCAAAAGTTATCACAGCCACAGCTTGCAACTTCAGCTTCCCAAGTTAACGCAAATGCATGTTCTGTTCTAATCACAAGTAGCGGGTTATAGGATACTAGATTATCTGTGCCGGTTATCAAAATGAATTAAATTGTTGCAGAAAATTCGTCAACAACTTGATACAGTACAACAGTACTTCAAGTACTTGATTGGTGAATTATGCTATCCCCTGCAATGGCTAATTATGATTACCAGTATTAAAGCAAGGAACTTAAACACTACCTTCTTGGTTTTCCTCAGCAAAACAATCCTCGCTGTATTTGCTTAAAGGTAAGACAATGTCACAAGGTTGACACTGGCGTGGTCACCCTCTTTAGCTTGGTCGTTACTCAGGAGCACAAATTTCCGATAAGTCTAACGCAAGCTCAATGTTGTACATTTTTTTCCTTTTTTATTAAAAAGTATTCGTGTCTTGTGCAGATATCATATGTACACCTTCCTTTTATATAAATGTTGTTTCAATTTGTGTCTTTTTTGACTCAAATTACCCATCTATTAAAATTATCAAAATTATCCAATTATATCAGATTACGACGCGCGCACCGCCAAATTCAGGGGATTACAACTGTAAGTACCCACGTTGTTCAGGTAATTAATCACAAATGAACCAGCTGTGGTTTTGTATCTCTTATGTACTAAAAATTATTCACACTTTTTAATATTTGGTTTGTTGTGTTTTGTTTTAGTGAAACTGAGCACAACGGTGCATTTAATAGGGTTTATTTTTAACATTGATACTCGTGACGAAGTGTAACAAAAATCCCCCAGCGGCCAAATGCTCATGCTTGTATACTTGGGCTTTGTCCTCATTTCTTGTGAAAATACGTTAGACTTTTATGTCCCTACATAGAAAGAGAATATTTTATTCATGTGAAAGTTGGAAGGTTTTAATGCTGGTGGTATTGGACCAGAGAGGATGGGTCGTTTCACTTTCACTTTAATATGAGGTATAAAGATTAAAAATGAGGTCAAATATTTGCCACTCAACCCGACCAAATGCCATCATATTATATGGTTAAATAGCGAAACTTACAGAAATAACAAAGAACGTTGCCTGATACTTTCTGAAAAAATATCTAAGCAGATAATTTCTGTTTTCTTCCTGTGCTATTTATATTTAATCCATATGGCTGTGTCCACCACCCATTTTACTAGTACATGTTTTATCTATTGTTTTTGCAGCAGTTATGCATAGTAATCACTGTGTCATTTGGCAGACTTTTATGAACTGGAGGGAAAGATAGATAAATCAAATGTATGTACAAAAATATTAAGAAGATACAGTTTTACAGCTATTTTTCAGCTGAACACGTGATTAATTGGTTTATCTTTTGGTATGTTGACTTTATTTGAGTCACATAATGTGTTACAGGAAATATATGCTATAACAACCTAATTTTTATGAAAAGTGATTTGGTCAGTTAATTAAAGCCAGTATCAGGGCAGACAGCTGAGTTCTGGCCAGACAGGTGTTAGCATGCCCTGTCAAACTTGTAACTTTTCTATTTATATTTATGTACAGGATTGCATGCCATGTAGGGTCTTGTTCCACCTTGAAATTAGATTTTTTTTTGTACAGTATATAAGCTGTTTACATTTACTGTAAAAGATAACTGGACGTGGCCACATCAGATAGCTGAGCAAGCTGTCTGGAGGTCCCAGCTCTCAACCAGGAATAAACCTGACTGTGTGGAAGTACTTACTAAGTCTTGTTTGTTTATTCTTGGACCATGTCATGGTGGATCATATCTCCCAAACCTACCATGATAATACCCTCACTTCAAATCTAACCTTTATATTCTGTTATTGAGTTGAGGTATGCATCAAGTATCTGTAACTTGTAAGTCACAAAAAAGGGAAATGTGTACTAGTACACGTACTACATTCTTTTTAAATGATTGAGGTGAATCTGTTTGTTCTATGTCACAAAGCTACAATAACTATGTCTGGTGGTGTTTGAAGCAATCCAAGACAGGGTGCATGAATGGCTTCTTGTTGAATTGAAACAATTAAAACTTTTAAAACATATATTGACAGATAAATAGCCTAAATCAATATTATAAAAAATAATCATATTCACCACCCCCTAGTGAACCTCGGTGGTCAGTCATCTTGACACAGTTTGAAAATAATGCGGGTTCTTGTGTAAGATCCAGAGGGTCTTGCGATATTGAGAAGTCTAGTCATGGAATGGATGGTGTATCTAGAAAACCTTAGCTTAAGTGAATGTTTTGGTCTTTTGCTTTTTCCAAAATTGCTACAGAGTTATATTGAGGGTTAGAAAAGGAAGATTAAAGGCTGGTAAGTTGGAGGAAAATGCCCTTTACCTTAGGAAAATTTGTTAAGTATAAGGTTTTGGTAGGAAAATCCTAGCTTAGAATGCTTTAAGTGTATTAATAATCTATCAACCTGTCACTTTGTATAATGAGCCCTTAGGGTAAAATGTAAACTTGTATCTTTTATGGAATATAAAAAGTTTTGAACAATTTAGAATTATCCCTTGGAGTAAAATACCTGTAAAATTACCACTGACATAGTCCAAAATTTACTTGCATGATCAAACGCAAGAATTATTGCATGGTCAACAATTATTGCATGGTCAAGGCTAAAGCCATGAGTAAAGCTAGCGCTCGCACAGGTAGTACAATTTAATCCCTTCTGCTGTGGATGGCTTTAGATGGTCTCTCAGCCATTAAATTAAATAATCATTGTAAACTATACTAACTCATCTGTACCTTCATTTCATGTCTTACATCCTTTTACAATTGTATATAACCCAGCAGCACTAGAGGAGGGTCTAGCCTCAATAAAGCTGTGCTGAACTGACTAGCTGGCTTCTAGAACTGCTCGTGACACCACTTCATGCAAGTGTATACCCATTTGTAACTACAGTAATTCAGGTGCAACACTATTAACTAAAAGCATCACATTAAATTACAGTTGGGACTCCTGAATAGTGATTTATATGCATGGGATAAGTTTTAATTATTTATAAATTATGTTTTGTTACATGTAGGATGATATTCTACAGTGACAGTGTAGGGAGTAGAAAGGTGAGAGGCTTAGTAAGTGAAGAAACACTGCAAGAATGAATAAAGAATGCTTCCTTAGTTAAAGGGATAACAACTGTTCATTTTGGCCAAAAAATGAATTTTCCTGGGGTAAAGGACAATTTCCCCGTACTTACCAATGGTATATGAATCCATTCCCACATTCAAAATTAATCCCTGTTTTTTTTTTTTTTCTAAAAAGTTTGTTTTTTGTAATAATAGAGGTCACGGGATGTGATGGCAGGCACAAATTCCAAAATAATTGTGTTAACCGCCATTTTGGGGGTAAAATAGAATTTATTGTATTTCTCTGAGTTATCCCAGTGAAAATGTCAATGTAAGTGGATCCAACTCCATGGGAACTCTTGCTGAGTGCAGTCAGATTAATAGATTAACATCCCTTCTCTTGTTTCCAACATACTGGTATAACATAATCATCAGCTTCTCTGTATTCTACTCAACGCCAGGAGGAAGCATGTTAATCTGATTGCATTCAGCGAGATGCCTTGCAGAGTTGGGTTGATCTGCATAGAAGGACAGTTTCCTTGGGAATAAGTCCATAGTGCCTTGGTTATGGAGAGAATTATCATACAAGCCCAATGAACCTGGATGTCCAAAGACCTGTCATAACATCTGGTAGCCTAACAAAGTGTTTTTATATGGTAAATTAATTTGATGGTAATTTTTTTCACAAAGCATGATACCATAGCATATAGTAGATATCTAAGGGACGGGTCCCTGGGGTGAGCTATTCTTGGCAATGCATCTACTTATAGGTTATGTAATGGTTACCCGTCAACACCATCTATTTTTATTTATTAAGTGGAACATATATACTGGTAGATTACACTGATGATAGCCTATATAGTGCAGTTGCTCATTTAAACATTTTATAGCATAATATTTATAATGGATTTTTTCCATATCGTAGAAACTGAAGAAGAAAGCATTCCTGTCACCATCATGTCTTGGGAAAATGTAGTAAGGTGTGCTCTAGATAACAAGGAGGCTCTACCTGCACAGGTAAGTGATATTTTAATAAAATTTCCAGAACTATCACTAAAATATGATTTCTTTTGAACAAAACACACTCTTGGGGTTTGCTTAGTCAACATGTATATATTTCAATAATATCAATAAAGTTTCTGTTCCCATGACTTTCACTTAATGATATGTATGGACTCTGTATAAAAGTTCTAGAAATTTTCACTTTTTTAAAAATTTAGGTAGCAGACTACGTAAGTTCAGTAAATTCTGAGAACTTGCCAAATAAACCAGCAGAGCTTGCAGTGAAAATTGTCTCTGATGAGGGAGCTGAGCCAGGATCACACCCTGATTGCAACATGCAGTTTGACTATGACTCTTGTATGTGTAGATTCCCGAAGAACTCCATCCAAGGCGCTCAAATTCGTTACTCCTGGTTTATTGGTAACAATCTCTTGGCCGTTTCTTTCTGGGGGGCAGATGAAGAGAAGAGACAACTTGAAAAAGTGGTTTTTCAGACAGATAACATTGAAGTGGCATTCCAGCTTCTCTGTGCTCTTAGATATGTGCAGGTGTTGAGCTATGAGGCCAAAAGTGAATCTGCTGAAAGATTTGTATCAACTTTTGCACCTGTGAAAGTGGGTCTCTTCCAAATTGGACTTGATGAAAACCCTCCTGCTGATTCACCTTATTCCTGGTTAGTGTTAGATGAAGAACTTGTTGCCATTTATGCTGATATCCTTGACAGTAAACCAAAAGTGGACCCAATGTTCTTCTATACAGAATCAGGTAAGTTTCAGCAAGTAGTATTTAAATTATGTGTATGGAGATCTATAATGTATGTTTTTAAAGTCTTTGTGGACATCATTTTGCGGAAGAACAGGTGTGCCTGCACTTCATTAATTCAGACCTCACTCCAACATAATTTTGTTTTGTTAGAGCCAAATGGATCAGAAAATACCTTATTAAAACTCAAAAAAAGAAAAATAATGAAGAGGCATAATCATGGGATAGTATTTCATTTCCTTTTGCCAAAATGAGTAATATTCCCCAATCGGCAAAGCTTTATCTGTTGTGACAATGTTATAACTGTGGCAACCTGCAGATGATCATAACTCTTGTTCCAAGTCTTCTTATTATGATTAGTTGATGGTCATTTAAATTCTTCTTGCCAAAGAAATGGATTGTTATTTTTTATATGTTAGCATAAACATAGAATAAGAATGCTACTACATGTAAATGTAGTATCTCATTTCTTTCAGTGAAAAGCTATAATAGTAAGCTATCTAGCTCCAATTTGGTTATTTTTCAAACATATTGTACGTAAAACATAACCACTTGTCAAGCAACCAGTGGAATTGATAAATACTCACAATAAAACAAAGTCATTTATTTTTCAGGGGTAAATTGTGTAGATAAGGTGATTTTAAGCAAATTAGTGAACCCGTGGTTGGTTGTGTTTGAATCCCAGGCAAGAAAAATTGTAATTGGGAATCCAGCTGAAGAAAAACCAGAGGGAAGATTTTTGGTAAGTAGATGGTCTAAAAAGTAACTATAATTTATTATTGGCTTTAAATTTTCTCTTATTGGCTTTGAATTAGGGGTAAATTGTAATAATATTTTTGGTGTACAAGAGTCTGTTTTAACACTGTTTAATGTTTCTTGCTGGCAATCTTAAGGTAGAAGACAATTATTTGTAATAATATTTCATTATTCTTATCTGTGTTGGTGAAATTAAATTGACTGTGAAGTTTTATTAAATTGTAAGCATAACTTGAAAATTATACCAGAAAGGTATGTTTTTTGCCCAAAGAGGTGTGTGCTTCTTTAAAGGGTAAATCATTAAATGAAATTACCATTTACTGCCTAGGCTGGGGACGAAACTCCATTGACTGCAGTGTTAAGGAAACTAACACCAAAATCAAAAGGGTTATTTAGAGGTGAGCTTGAATATGACACTTTTTTGCTTGCTTTTACTTGTTAAGAGCAGCCCCTCTTATTTTTCAACGGCAATAATAAAACATAAACTGACGTTTTGATGTAACTGAACAACAAAACTTTAATATATATAGTTATACTTCATTCTTCTGTAGGTATATTTCTTGTCGGAGTTTTTGTAAACATCGTTGACTTACAGGAATATTGAAGTACCCAATTATTTTTAGATCCTGATGCCTATATGAAGCAGCTGTTCCATCAAGGGGCTGAAGCAAATCCTCTCACTGCAACCCGAAATCCACTACCACGTCCACGCCGTGATGAGGAAGGTAATGAGAGGGAGATAGAAAATGTCTTACTGGAATCCTTACAAGGTAAGTTACAGTGACAAAAGGAACATTATGACTTTTCCTGTTCAATCTTTCAGATACATGATATGGAATCATTGAAAATATATTTCTATTTAGCAGTTGTGATGTTTTTACTGTATAGAATGGAACCATAAAGTAGTTTGCTTTTCGATTTTGTTGCTCCTACTCAGTAGGAATTTTCTAATGTTCAGAATTTCTTACTCAGAAAAATTCAATGTTTGTAAAATTTACAATTTTCCCCATTGAAAAGATCCAGTCAGTACCACATATATGTAAAACAATTGATAAGGTTTGATTATTTAGAAGTAAAAGGTTTGTACTGATCTCAGGGAGGGTCTTCCAGAAGACGATCAAAATGTTTAAGTTTAAATTGATGGGCATATTATTTTCTCTATCAGAAAACTGTCAAAAAAGGAAGGTGCATTAATATAGATAATTTAGAAGATGGTCAGCAAATATCTGTGGGTCTGCCCCTGTATCTAGCCCGATGACATTAACAGGTTATTCGTGTGTTACAGCCCAGCTCACGCCGCAGCAGACGGTGCAGGATCTCGATGAAAACCTGCAAATGATGTGGGTCATGGCGAAGTCCGAGATGGAAGATATGATAGCCAAGGGCCTGGTACCTGGATCTTCAATCATCAGCGGAGGTGGGATAAGATTGATATTACTTGTTTATTCTTCAAGTGTGAAACTTGGAAAGATTGTGATTTTTTTCAAGATGTGTGTGTTTGAAAACCTAAATATCGTTATCTAATACATGCCATTATGGTTGGGTCAGTTTTATTTGTTCAAATGTAGAAGTATGTGCATAATGCATGTTTGTAGGGCTGTTTTTAAAGATTTTAAATCAGAAATGTCTTGTTCCAACCATAAAACTATAATAATAATGGGCCTCCAAATAAATAGTGATTTTTTTATACTGGAACCATTTGTAACATAATTGGGACTATGAGGGCATTTCCAGAGATTTAGATCGATCTTATTACATCGACCTAATTCCCTGGGGGTTCACGCTAAATTGCAGTCAGCCGACTGTGCACTGAAGTTAATTACCCCCTTACAGCTTGTAGTAGGAGGGACGGACATTTAAGTCGGATTATCTGACAGTAATCTAGTGAGAGTCCCCACGGGGATAGATCGATCTAAAATCTATGGGAATGCGCCCTATGTAACTTCTCTGTTTTTTTTACACAGTTTTGTCTTTTCAGGACTTGATCCAGATTCTGTTGATCACTTCAAGAAATGTGTAGATGAAATTCAAGAAGCATTATTTGAACAAAGGTTTGTATTTTTCATTATGTCTGAAACTTTACTAACAGTAATGCACTAGTAAAGGATTTTTTTTCAGAAAAAGTGGTTTGTATTTTACAATTGTATTTATTATAACACATGAAAATATTTTGATGAGCCTAATTAATTTTTTTAAAAATTGAGTCATTAATTTTTTCATATTTAAGAGATGCCGTCATGTGTATAACCATATTTTCTTTATGTCTGTTTTTGTTCAGGTATGAAATTGCACTTAGTCACATGAGGGGTGCTTCCAAAATTTTCTCTGAGTCCAAAAATGATACCATGAAGTCTTTCTTCAACTTGGACAACGAGCTTGAGGTTTTGGAGAGGTTGTTCCTCTGCAGCTTGGCAAAACAATGATGAGGAGTTTGGAATATTTTGGTGAATTTTTGTGAGAGACACGAGACAAACAGTGATCACCACTGAAACTAAATTTAACAGATGAACAGATACATGTGCATCAATTCATTTGATTCTGATTAGACCAAGAGACTTCACCTTTCAATGGATAAATGCAGCCTTTCTTGTTTTATTGAGAACAAGTTATTATTATAATTTTATTTTGGACAACTTACATTTTATATTATGATTTTCAGTCACTGGTTGCATCCTAGTAAGACAATTTTGATGAAAGCTTGATATGTTGATGTCCTTACAGATGATACATTAAAAAGTTAAATACTATATTTATCATTGAATATAAAGAATGTCACTTGTATATTCTTATTAATTTTTGATTTACTTGATAGTAGCTTTAATATTTTACACATTTTATATTCTTTATTCAGTTAACATTCTGCTCATTCATTCTGCTCATTCTGTAAATTAGACCTATTTTTTGCACCAGTATATGTACCTGTTTTGAAGTGGTTTATTTTGCAGAGAATTATGTTTTATGTATGATTTACATATAGTTCTAGGAACATGATGTAAATGAACATTTAGAAGTTAATATGGGGATATTGTTGATTCTAAGACATTTCCACAGTTCCCCCCAAGACAACTCGCCGCTTTCCAGAAAAGAAAATACCTTGCTTTTGAGTCATCTATTTGAGACATTTATATATTTCTTGAAAATTTACTAAATATGAAAAAGAAAACGAAAAGTATTGGTTAACAATTACAAGAATTCGGAAGCTCACTTATGCCCTTAAACAGACCTTAGAGGAAACCTTCAATTATTAGATGCCATAGATATAAATTTGCCTTTAAATGTCAGTTTTTAATCAAACAAATACTACAATTTATTAATTTTTTTCTTAAAGTCAATTAATCTGCATTTCATTTGATTTTATTAGTAAGTTTCGTGAATATCAGGTTAAGTAAATAATAATTAATGAACTAGAAAAGAAAGCCAGATTCGATGATTCAGATTCAGATGCTTATTAATGTCAGGGGGTAGTGGTGAAACAATTAAAAGTGATAATTCATTCCTTAATGGGATACATGGAAGAATGAGAGTATCCGTATACCCCACATCTACAAGGGGATAAATTTTTATTAAAGGCAGGCATTTATAAATTTTCTCAAAATCACTGTCTTTGTTCATTCTCAGTATGTTATCCATCACAGGAGGTAGGGGGGTATTCCTGATAAATTATAATAGATTCATACTTTTCAATTTATATATACAGTGAGAGTGTTTGTGTGTGTATACCTATTTGAAAATGTTGAATTCCATTGTAGTTGAAAGATACATTGTACCTTTATTAAACTGATTCAGTATTTACAAACCATTATTTTGTCATGTTTCAAATTCTTTTAATAAAAGTGTAAATAAAAGTGTGTATGCATTATACAGTAATGCGAACGTTTTTGTTACTTTAAACAATTGGTAGATTCATTGACTGCATTCACAGTGTTTATTTTTACGTTTTTATTTTCAAAAGAAGTATACCAGTAATTTACAATTGGATAGTCTTATCTGCTATAATAGTATCTACACCCCAGTTTACGCAAGTAGGTAAATGCGACGTTTGAAAAGGAGGAAAAGATTATGTATTTTCTTAGATATTTAAGATGTCGTTTTTTAAAAGGCGTAAAACTCCACAAACAACCACCAAAAAGACACTGATGATAAAGGCTTTATATTAGAGCTTAAAATTGATTTTATTTCCCCGTCAATCGAGGACCAGGGCTGTAGAAAGATAGCTTATGATGCTTGAATTATTCTTAATTATTCCTGTTAGGCATATTTATTTCAAAACATTGTTTTACTTATTTTAAAAAACGACAGTGTTGTCAAAATATATTTTAAAAAATTCCACTGCAACCCCTTCATTTATATTTAATATGTATTTCCACACATATAGCTGTAGAAATACGTGTTGTGCCTAGAAACTAAACACAAAAAGAACAACACCTGTACCGCTAAGAATCAATTTTTAAATCATTCCATTATTATATGTTTTGGTATTTTTACTTAAACACATGCCTGCAGTGTTTTTCGTTCAGGATACACTCCCGCCCATCCCAAAACTGCACTCTCCTCCAACTCGACAGCATTCAGGAACGGTTTTGGCAATCCGATACGCTGACACGTACATATGCCCATACTTACTAATAAACAAAATAAGGATGTTTTTCTTCAAATTTTGAAGTGAGCCAATGAAAACAAAAGAAAAGAAAGATTTGCCGGTTCAACTTCTGCCTTGTGAATTTCCAGTGCGCTGTGTAAAGTAAGACGCTCAGTGTCTCAAGCAATTTTCAAAGTTACACAGTAGGAGTAAGCCAAAATGGAAATCGTTATTACGGTAAGCAATTTAAAGGCATGTCCTTTTACTAATTGTCGTGCGACTAAGCCTGAAACCTCTAGATCTATCTCCAAAGTAGTTCATAGAATCGCAGTCGAAGCCCAAACCGAGGAAGTAAATAAGAGGTGTCACAAAGTCTGAGACATGTTCTTATCTTATCGTCTTATTTTACTTGATTTTTAGCATATGGTTTTTAGAAATTTGGTGAAAATTGAATTGTTTCATGGAGTTAATGAAAACTATATTACGTTCAAATGATATTCCCTTTGTAGGTCTTCGTTTTACTGGTCACTGTGAATACCATTCAGAGTGAAACGATTCCAAGTAACAGCCAAGGTCAGAAACGTATTTTGGCATGTTCTTCTGCGTCTCAGTTTTGTTGAACAACATAAAATTAAAAAGACTAAATCACAAATTTTAATAATGATAATTATAATATAATGGATTCTAGCGATATTTGAAATACAAAATGATAGCAAGATAAAAATAATTGTATTTGTGAACAGTAAACATTGAAAAAAAAAAGATTTGCTTTTTGGTAAACAAGGATGTATCCACTTGCTTCCACTCATTGTTTTTTTTTTCTTAATAAGTTATGAACCACATCAAACAAGACATGCTTTAGTGATGTTAGCTAGATGTTGCATTGATGCTTGGTGCACGTGGTAAAGTATCTTTGATCACATTTCATTAAAAAAATCGATATTCACGTATAAAACAACATCTTATGCTTCCTCACATAAATACTCCCTCTCTCTCTCTCTCTCTCTCTCTCTCTCTCTCTCTCTCTCACACACACACACAGACACACATGCACAAACACAGATAAGTACACATGGATTTTATTCATAGCGTTTCATGTACGCAATGTTATCATTAATCCTAGAATACCCAGACGGATTCTGGTTTGGAGTTCAGTCGTTGAATTGCGTCTTGGACTTAAAGACCAAACGCTCCGTGGTGAAGCCGGACCCCGAGTTCCGTGTTCCCATACGGTATGCACACCGCTTGCTCTACTACCGAGGCCTAGTCTTCGAGTGGGGGGTCAGTGAAGACGGGCACTCGCATGGCACGTCTCCTGCGTCTCCGGACTGCGCCGTTCGGTGGGAGGCTAAGCCGTCAGGAAGGAGCAACTGTAGCAGTGACGTCGCCAAAGACTTCGCAGCATCCTACAAGTCGAAATTCGGAGACTATCACTTGATTACCAACAATTGCCATTTATTTGCCACTCGCCTAGCGCGACTGTTGCGAAGCGCTGATTGTAAATCTCACGAGACTGCGTTCAGTAGGTTGGTAAACCGCTGGCTGCAGGGGCTGTGGACTGCGGTAGAGGAGTGGGTGACCCCGAGCGAAGACGGACATGCACCAGTTTTCACCAATAACCGCCCGGGCATGCGAAATGACGAGAAAATATACGTTGTAGAGTAAAAGACATTGGGAAAAGATACATTTGTCATGATGATAGGATTTAATTTCACGGGGTTAAATTTATTATTGAAGATGTCAAAATTTGTAAACATTATTAAATTTGAAGTCAATACGTAATGACCAAGTGAGAGAACAGTAAATATTTTGATTGTTCAGAGAACAGAGATGGTTTTACGGCTGACCAACACATGTATGTGACAAATGAGAAATAAACATGAGTGAAAACGATATAAAACTGTTTAATGTATTAACAATAAAAATAATAAACTAGTTTACAGCTGTATCATGCTTGTCACATTTGCAGGCCATTGGCTGTCTGTCTGTCCGTCTGTCTGTTTACATTTATCTTAGAGAGCATTCAGAACAAGTTGATCCGCGGACTAAATATGGCTGACCAACGCAAAGCGATAACGCTAATCCCCTGATGGTCTCCCCTCCTCCACACGCGCCGTCGCTGTAAAGGCGTAGCAACTAAACCTCGGAACCGAGATTTAATCCGTTTAATGGCACGTGTGGAGGCGGGGAGACCATCAGGGAATTTAGCGGCTTGCTTTTAAGCGGGGTCGGCCATATTTAGTCGGCAGATCAGTTTGTCCGCGGATCATCTGTGCTGAATGCGCTTTTACATGTAGAAGTGTACAATGGATATGAGACAGGAGGAGGCGATTAAGAAGAAACATATGCCTACATGTACCAATTATGTTGAAAGTTCGAATTGCTTATCTGTATGTGTTTCACATATTTTGATGAAGTATAAAGTTTTTAAAAAATGGTATGTTATACGTATATCATGTTAGTAAAAATAATGTTATAGCATGCCCTCAAAAAGAAAATCGTGCAGTTGGGGTAGGGCAATGCGGTGGTTTCCATCCACTATTAAGCAAATGTAATGAATCTGAATCACAATTTATAATACATGTGGACCTCAACACTGGTTTATTAAGATTCTACAGCAACGTCTACACTTTATATGTTTAAACGGACGTTTCTGATCTCTTCATGTCCGACAGCGTGCTGGCTGCTGTACTGGGTGCCGCAGTAGAACCCTGACCCAGTGTGCTTATGGAGCCGCCTGTCTGTGGCCTGCTCCAAAGAGAGGACGAGGAATATCCTAAATTCTCTTCCCCTGCCTCCATCTGGCCATAGTACTCTTTACGTAACCCCTCGCTAGCCGGCCCCCAGTCGGGCAAGGGTCGCATCACCTCTTTTGTAAACTGAAATATACCCAATAGAATGTTACGTGTCTCGACCAACAGCACAGGTTTCATTATTTTATCAAGAATGGACACGCTTTTTACTTTTATTTATGTTACTTCACCGCTAAACTGAACACACAGTACGTAAATCTATGATTACCACATCATGACATATGTTAACGAAGTTTTCATGCTTTCGTTGGCGAAAGCTTGTGTGTTAGGTGGTGGGTAAAATATCTCAAAAAGATCTTCACAAATGTTGGTGAAATTTTCAGGACGGAAAAAAGTGATTACAATTTCACCTAAAGAAAGGCGTCTAATATTTTCAAAATGACTTTCATAGTTTTTGCTTTCTGCTTTTTCGGGTTATATTTTACTTAAGAAACAATAACTGAATAACACTTAACGATGTTTAATAAAGCCTTAAAATACTCGTAAACATATAGAATTATAAAACCTGTGGCTAAAGTTTTACTTACTTCCCATCCACCATCTTTACAAAACCTATACATCCACCAAACAGGGATCATGAGTGTCGGCCACAGGGATATCAACCACCCCAGGGCCACCGCCCACCCAGGGTACTGGTACGTGTTATACGTGGGGTTTTTGTACAGAACAAAGTTGAAAATAATGGTTACCTGAAAACAAAAACACCCAATATTGAATTAATGTAAAAAGAAGTCAAGCATCAAAACAAATCACGGATTACAATTCGGAAAAAAAATCAGGAAAAAATTATGGATAATATCATTCATTATTCGAGTGTGGTGTATGGGCGGCCAAATGTGTTAATTAATCGACGAAGATTTCTGTATGTTTACTTAACTACATATGAACGACCACATAAAAATACATTAATATGGAATTCCGTGGTTTTGATGCAAGCTGAAAGTCTTGGTAACAGTAGTCCTAGTTACAAACTTTTTGTTGTTTCATGTTGTTGGCAACGTCAAACATATATCCAATTAGTAAATTCTATTGTGTCGTTCTGAGGCGTGCCTTTTTATCTAAACCGATTAAGGTCTATACGAGTCTGTGGCGCTGTCTATTTTACAGTTTTAAATACATACGAAAATGATCACAGGTGTTAACACGATCCAGCAGACTTTCCAGTAAATATTTGGCTTTCTTCCTAACATCATTTCAATGTCCGTGGAAAACTGATCGTAGCCTGAAAATAAACGTACACAAATGAACACACGTGATGAGTACAAAACTGTCAATTATTCCAATAACGACTTATCTGTTGAAGCTGTGAAGAAGTATCGAAAAGTTAAAAGTCAATTTTCCCGGACGGCGGACGGACAACTTTAGGCTGTGTATGTCATTCCTTGTCTACTGTGAATTTTCATCCATTATAGGAACACAAATTCAATCGGAAAAAGAAAAAAATGGACATTGGTCTTGATTTGAATGTTGGAATTATTCGGAAGTTATTACACAGGAATAGCGAACAGAGTAAAAAAAATCATCTAGTGGGTTTACAAGTGGTATTGCATGTAAATTCGTACAAGTTACCCTTACCATATATCCAATTAAGCACTACCACTTCAGTAAAACCCACCACCAGTAACGGAAATCCACTGACACTGTAGTCCAATAAATTTAGCATGTATATGCCACCCTAAATAATAAAAAAATATAGCATATAACTTACAAGTAAGCATAGCTTAAAATTTTTGTAATATATAGCCACACTTCTTATCAGTGGGAGATTTTAAGAGAAGCATGTCTGATTTTCCGATCCATTAGCTGGTGCTTTTTGATAACATAGTCTGGAAGCCTCATATTTGGCCCTGGACATAAACCATATTTCTTTAAACATACAAAAATTCCACTCTTCCATCTGCATATTCACTGAACATACCCTTGTAGCCATTGGAAGTCCTAGTAAAAAGCACACGAAACAAAACACAGCCCGGAAGATGATGTTATTTTTCCGTGGACGAAGCCAGTCTGCATACTCGTCAGTTAACGCGCTGAGGACACATTCGACTGTAGACAGCTAAAACAGGTTATGACGTATTTCAAGTTTTAAATTCAAATCTATTCCTTTTTGACATGACAGCGCAGTTTACAATAATCAAATTTGAAAATATATATTCAAATATATATTAACAAAAAGAACGAAACGTTTATCGTCATTTTTTAAGAAGTCTATCAAAATCACAAATCGACTCTGTTTTGAGCAGTATGGTAAGAAACAAACGGTAAGCAACCTACCTGGGAGCCGAAACCCAGGGTCGCCATCATGATAAAGAAAAGGATCGCCCACAGAGGTGACAGCGGCATCCTTGCTATGGCCTCTGGGTAGGCTACAAATGCTAAACCTGGACCTAAAATCAGACCAATAAGATGAATTTCCCCTCCATCTTCTCTTCTCTTCTCTCTTTTGTACAAATACCATTTCAAACAGCTGGCGATTAAATTTTCTGTATGAACATACACACTGTAGCAGAGAGGCGAGGCACGTTCAGCCCTCTGGGGTACCTCCAATGTATTCATGACTATTGATTTAAACTCACTAAGACTAGAATTTAAGTCTCTTAGTTTTGGGTCACTTTTACTCAGATTAGGATTTTTAATATTTGAAATAAATGCATATGCTATATTTAAGCTTCAATTCCAAGTGGTGGTTGCTTTTTCCCGGCCGAACTTTTAGGTGCATATTACACAGGTGCCAGGCAATTTTAAAATATCTGTTGAGACGTAATGAATCAGTACTCACCTCCTGCTACAACGTCTTCAACTAGCACACCTTTGTTATAAGCTATATTACCAAGGACGGAAAAAATGACAAAACCAGCGTAAACACTCGTGGCGCAGTTGATTGTCGCAACAATTATAGAATCCCTGAAATGAAGTTCATCGTTTTATTTCAAAATTGCTTAATAAGGGAAATAGACGGCATTTATATAAACTTGGACTGTTGGTGTCTTTCAATAATTGTTGCTGAATAATCTACTTCAGACATATGTCAAATGGATAGATACCTCTAAATCAACACAAGACTAAAATTGATTAGTAAACGTAGCAAAAACAGTGGCAGCTGAGATAGGAGAAAAACGAGTTTACAGAATGAACTCCCCGCCCCCTTACCACGTACCTGAGGCAGTTGTTTTTAAAGTCGTTGTAACTGGACATGGCTATCAATCCGCCAGAACAGGCACTGAGAGAAAAGAAGATCTGCGTAGCTGCATCACTCCACACCTAAAACATGAATAAGTTTAGAGTTGTGGTGTAATGGTTGGAACTTTAAAAAAATGTTAGAGATCCTGAAATTGCATTTGTACGTTTTTGCACAATGAAAATGCCACTTGAAACCGATTGGGAAATGTCTTTCTTACCCTAGAATCTGCCAGTTTGGAGAAGTCTGGTTTGAGGTAAAATGTAATTCCGTCCACAGCGCCATCTAGTGTAAGCCCGCGTACCAAAAGTATGGTCAGCATTATGTAGGGAAAAATTGCGGTAAAGTAGGCAACCTGTAGAAAATGTTGTCAGTATTAAGATGTATTACTAACAGACAAAGCAACCAATGATTTTAGTAAACCCAAATGTATAAAAGCATTATGCTGAGAGATTGGACATATTTCTGTTGTTTTGGAAATTATTGTTTTACTGTGCGCGTGATAGATCATCGCATATATATTAGGTTAAAACCTAAATTGTAACTGAAACATGTACCTTCCCTAGGGTTTGAATGCCCTTCAGTAGACATAATAACACAATGACCCAGGCTACAAATAGTGCCACCGGTACACGCCAGTTCATACCCCCGGGCTCGTCAATACCGGAGGTGACTTCCAGCACAAAGTTACTGAAATAGATGTATTATAAAGAAAGATAGATGTTGTTGCATTAATAAAAATGTCAGTTCAATAAAACCAATATTCATCTGTAATAAAGCTTATCTAAATGGCCTTTTGTCCGTAAAAAATTGTCAGATAAAATCTATATAAATGATATAAAACACTTAAAAGTGGATTTGAGTCAAAGGAATATTTGGGATTTTCAATATATCTAAAGATTGTTCATAACTGACACTAATGATTAGTTGCGTGTAGCATCGGTTGGTTTTCATGCATAAAATGAAGAATAAAAAATACTCACTCGTAATATTCTTCACTTGGCGTGGTGCTGCGCCCAGTAAAGTTCACAGCGATAGCTAGAGCTGAAATAAAACAATAATTACACACAGACTGAACAATTTTAAGAAAATCATTATAATTATTTTCAATATGGATTTTTAATAGGACAACCTGATTTAAAAAAAAGATAATTTGGTCACGATTAAGCGATACAAGGACATCTTCGTTCAGCGGGAGACGATCAACTGAGCGTCAGAGTCTTTACATTCCTCACAAAGACAACCGTAAGCACTTGAAATATGTTTTTGAAATATGATTTTGTAAATATTTGCTCAAAAATAATACCTGTTTTATTTTTGGGGTCCTCGACACAAGAAGGCGTGTTCCAGTATTTCCGGCAGGTGGTCCAGGGGAGCTCGGCGGTCATGGAGGAGATGAGGAAGACCAGCACGTGAGAGATGACCACATTGTAGTAGAGTCCAATCATCCAAGACACGGACACCATCGCAAAGCCCAGGCCTAATGTCACAGTGATAAACCCATTCAGTGTAATATATATGTAGCGATTTAATGCAATGAGAAGTACATACAAGATAAGAGGGGGGTCTGTTATTCAAACGTAGCCCATCACAATATTAAATCCATCCAACTTTGTATTATTGGGAAGGGGCACGGAGGTGCTTTTCCCTCGTTTGCCTTACCCTCTACTAGGGCAACAGCTTGATTTTTCACAGATAGTCACAGATATGTCTCTAGATAAATAGACAGTCATTTTAGTCTGATGTCAGCCTCAGCAAAAAATGTCCACATTAATAATTGCGGCCCTATAGAGGCTACGTTTGCCTCGAGGATGGAAAGATTGCTTGGTCTTTTTTTGTTTCTCTCGCTATATTTAACACAGCTGACAATAATTCTATCACAACGGACATATAGGCCAAAGAACAGTCTACAATATAAAAGTTGTGGAGATCTACCGGTCTATGTGTATGCAATGTGATGAATTTATAGAATACATTTCTTTGAAAAGGCAGATACTTACCCTTGAACAGAATGTTAATTCTCCATATAGTTATTGGTCCCAAGCTGGCAAACTGACCGAACGCCAGCTCTAGAAAGAACAGGGGGAGGCCAACAAACACAAGCATTATGATGTAAGGCAGAAGGAACGCTCCTGAAAGTTTAGATTTGCTTTTTGTCATAAAGAAAATGGTGCAAATAACCCAGTATAATAATTCCAATAAATTTAATTCTAATGTAAACACAAAATGATATTAAGTAACTTATGCCTTGGTCATAAAAGGATATCCTTTAGAGATTGTTTGTTTTTGATTACCGCGTCACTTAATGCACATTAATCAGCTAGTTTAATGGACTTAAAGTCTTTGACATTGCAATTTACACCCTGGTTACACTGATAACAATGTTAAGATGGCTACAAGTGAAAACTATTACTTCCGCAATGAAGGTGAAATCTAGGCTTTGGTTAGTAATTAATGTGTGATCGAATTATATTCTAAGAAAGAAAGATGACGAGTATGACGAGGCTTATTTTTCTTCTTCTTCTCTTTTTTTTTTTTTTTTTTTTTTTTTTTTTTTTTTTTTTTTTTTTTCAGTTTTTTTTTCCCCCTTTACACTGGNGTATCAGAATGAATGCTCAATGATCGGCCAGTTGTCGGCACGTAAAGTATTATAATTCTTTAACTCTCAAATGGGGCCGAACTGCTGGACGCAGAAGGGACGCCGTCCAGTGTAAAGGGGGCTTTAGTTACTTTAAAATTATCTCATCATCTTCAGTTTTTTAATACGTCCCTTTGCCACGTGAACAAAAATTTGAAAGCGAAAAGAAAAAAGAAACAAGAAAAATGAATAAAGAAAGAAACAAGATAAAGAACAAAGAAATAAGGAAAAGGGACGCAGACGTCACGATTAAGAGTTTTTACATGAACTTACCTCCCCCGTTCCTGAACGTCAGGTAAGGAAATCTCCATACGTTCCCTAAGCCCACAGCATACCCCACACATGTCAATATAAACTCAAACTTTCCACCCCATGTGGCACGTCCATCCTCTGCCTCGGTCTGTGAACGGAAAGTTTGGAAATATAAAAATGTTACAAACTATGTCACTGTAAATAAAGAGCACTAAAGATTTACGAATGAGACACAGCCTACACCAGATAAAGTAAAAAAAAAAAAAAAAAAAAAAAAAAAGCAGTGCGTGATTTTACTCCTACAGGTAGCTATGTGCTTGTTCTGCCTATGCTTCAGATTTCTTTATATGACATATTAAGTTACTCGAGATAAACAGAGATGTTTTACTTAAATCTAGGACCCACAACACAATTGTACAATTGTTTGGTGGGCCCTGCATGCAGTTTGAATATATACTACTTTGAGCCGCACTGGGAAATAAGACTTAGGCTGGAAAATTGGCAAATTTTACCAAGAACGTCACAGCACGATGCAACATGAATAAATCTGGATGGTCATGGGAAAGATATATGTGGGGGACCCACAGGCCTGTTCTTTCAAGCATGTACCTGTATATGCCGGGCGCCCCAGGTATGTGCTGAAAGCTATATATACACTGTACTATGGCACAGGCTGTCAGCTGCATAACCACCTGAGAATTGTCACAGTCAACTCTTATATCTAAAAACAGGTGCGTTGCTTCATTGAGTTTTTAATATTAAAATTAATTAATAGACTAGTGAACCCAATTCCCTCTGTCTTAAAGACTTTCTAGACCTTTTAAAACACGCTGTATGATCCCGTGATATTACACAAAATAGGAGTTGTAACGTATTCTGCTACCCCAAGCTTCCAGTGGCTGTGACAATTTCTTAGTGGTGTCGTTGGTTCGTGAAAATATCGTCCACTTCTGTCTAAAAATAGATATGAATCGCTGTACCCCCCCCCCCCCCCACACACACACACACAGTCTCACCTCTTCAGTCTGCACAACTGCCATTTCTTAAATCTTTCCTTCGCTGTCACCTGCCATAGCTTCGTGTAAAGAGGTCAACGGAAAGGTTTATACTTACCTGTTTAAGTCACGTGGGACGCTTTTGTTCAAGTAATGCTTAAGAGCCTACTGCTTGTCCATGCACATAAAGTGTGCACGATTCACCGTTTGTGTTCATGCTCTCAATTCATTTACAGTTTTTTATTATAAGTATTTCATACGGTAAATACGGTATCATGTGATGCATTGAGTGCGACTTTTTAGGATTTAAATACACGAACACTAAAAATTAAAACTGATTCTTGTCGATCTTTTATTTTCTAATCTAGCATCTTAAAATATTACTTTCGTACGGCTGAAGGTAATTTGCGAGTCGTAAGTTTTGAATGTATTTTGCTTCAGTTGCTTTTTTCGCGTCACTGGTTCATTCATCTCCTTGTAACACCTTAAAATGAACTTTTTAATAAATTTAACAGAAATGACGGTTTGCTGCTTTATTGGTCTGTATCAACTCCAAAATTTTCAGTTTTTAAGGTGGCTTACCACCAGAGTTTCAACAGTCAATATAAATCGTTACTACACGTACATGTATTTAAGAACGATTTTACATATTGGCAAATATATTGCACGCCAAATTCAACTACACAATGCTGCGCAATGGACAGAGGTAATGTTGTAAATATTTATAAAGAAGAGAGTTTCAAATGTTACTTAAAAATGCCAATAAAATTAAGCAATACAGGAAATACAACAGCTTGGCAGATAGTATAAAAACCATTTAAAATGTAAAAAACAGAGATTGGACCTGAATCTCTTTTACCAAAGGCTTGATTCTACAGTTCAACAAAATAACAACTTCAAGTTACAACATACATGACACCAACATTACAACCACACTAAATAGTACCAATAATTGCACTTGTGGTTCTAAAAGATTGTAAATTATAGAAATTATTGCACAAAATTATACTTGGCATCAAAACTCAAAGTAAGACTTCAAGAGCTACATATTTCATCAAGTATTTTGGGAGCGGTAACTGAAGGAGCTTATCTTGCATTTTACAGCCCCCAAGACATTTTCTTATCAATGCTGCACAGAGCTTCTTCAATGAGTATGGATTGCTCCAAGCCTGTTTCAAAAAATTAATCAACTCAAGATCACTCAGCAAGCTGGGGTGCAGGTCTTTTAAAGGCATCACTTCCCTGTGTATAGGGTAACCAGCTGCGATGAGAAGTTGAATTATTTTTCTGTCAGACCGCATTGCTGCGTGTTGTAGAGGAGTCCATCCCGTGTGTTTGTCTCTGTGATGTGCCATACCTCCAGCTCTGAGAATGGCCTGGACTATGTCAGCACTGTGAGCAGGACTGTTACACACCAGATGCAGTGGTGTCCACAGAGTTTGACAACACATCGCATTTACATCAGCACCTGCTTCTATCAATTTTAACACTATCGTCAAGGGCTGGGCCACGTGTAGTGCAAATATAAAACAGGCTGGAATGTCCTCTCCCACTCCGTGTCCAACAGCATTGGGATTAGCTCCATATGACAGCAGCATTGACACCAAATCAATGTTACTCCTCAAGCATGCTAAATGCAGGGCATTCTCTGTATGGGCTCCACTGTCTAGTAACAACTTGGCAATATCCAGTCTACTGTTTTCTATTGCAGTGCACAGGGGGTTCCCCCTCCAGGCTGTACAAAAATTGACATCAAACCCCTCTGCTATCTTGGCAGCAACATATTTTATTTTTCCTGCTTTAACCGCAAGAATAAATCTAAGTTGTTCCTTGTTTAATTTTGGCAAATCCTGGTGCTCTCCAAATTCAAAACTGAAATCTGTGTCCAATAACCAAGTATCTACAATGTAGTCCCCGTCTTCTGCATATCCATTCATTTCTATTTCATAGCTCCGTCACTTCAGTAATTAAATAATGTTGAGGCTGCACCTAAAGCAAATGTATTAAATTAAATCTTAAATTACGTAAAGCCAAAGTACTATTTCTGAATTGTACTATATCAGTCAATTACCGTCAATTATGAGTGAATTTGGATAAGTTAAAACCTAAAGATTAATTTACCTTTCTTTTGATTTTTCATGGGCTTTAGATATATAAAATTAACAACATACCGGTTTACATATACTCTATATCACACCCACTGGGCATACCAAACATTAAAATACTTTAATCCTCCGTCTTACCTGTGTTGTACTGCCTGTACGTGTTACATACTGCCTGCTGTCTGGTTTTGTTTATGTACAGCGGTCTACCATTGTAGCTTCCGTACTCCTGGCGCAGAAGAGTTAAACTAGACAGCTGGGAAATATACAGACACCATACAGGAAACAAGACAAGAAAGCTGTCAGATGTTGAGACATTACGCAGATAAAAGTTTACAAAAATGTTTTGGCCAATTTTGATGCACTGTTACATAATGCTTTAAAACAGCATAATCAATCTTACCTTCTTACATCAAGCACTACAAGTAACACGGACATTGAAAAACACAAGTAAATTAGTTCCATGGGATATAAAAGCAACTGAAAATGCTAATGTGTGAAAAAAAAATCACTAATAAAAGATCATGCAGGTTTTCGAAAGCAACCTGACTCTTTACCAAACAAAGCAACACAGTAAATTTAAAGTAAAACAAAAATAGGCCTACGGTCTGTAGGCCTATATGTGAACAAACTTAAAATAAAATAACAAAAATGCAAGGTCAAAGATGAAATAAAAGTCTATCGATCCATTTTGGAACTTGTACATCGCATAACTCAATGATCGTTTGGTTTTAATTTTAGCCTTTTTTAACCCGAGAATCTTTTTTTTTTTTTTTCAAAACGTTTACCGGTACCTTAATTCATTCCTGGTGGTAACTTCGAGCTCCCCCCCCTCCCGATGTTATTACCATCTTTTTGCATTTTAAAGAGTTTGTGTACATCTTTTCGGTTTTGTACATGTATGAGAAATCCCAGTCATAGGAGTCCTGAGGAGGGTAGTGGTGATGATATAGAAACACCTAGACCGACTAGACATAGTCACAGTAAGTTATTTTAATAAAATATAATAAATCTATTGAAAATTTAATAAAAAATTAATTTATTTTAAAAAAATAAACTTTTAATGAAATAAATTAATTTATTAAAATAAATCATGTTGAAGCAAAGACTCTCATTAATTCAAAGCTATGTTTAAACCTATTTCGTAGAGTCATATACAGGAAAAGCAAACTGGCTTCCGCCAAAGCACCTATTTTCTAATTATTGTAACTCTTTATTTATCAGCCATTTGATTTACTAAATTCTCATAATTTAAAGACTAAATATTATTTGTGAAATTATAAGCAAAAACGACCAAATTGGCCTGTTCTCTCAATTTAGTGAAGAATCCTTAAAAAATTAATGGATGCAGATGAGGATCCCGATCTCCACCAAAATCTTTAAAGTTAGCCTTGGTAGTGGTAGTATTTTTGAAAAGTGAAGTGTCAAATTTTCAACAAAAGTTCATTTACTTAGGTTTAGGTCTTATGGATTAAATTTTTTAACATCTCTAGCGGGTAGAAGACCCAGTGCATTGCGTCCTCCCGGTCGTAAGAGTCTTCAAGAGGGTAGTGGTGATGACATGGAAAGACCTAGACCAACTAGACCCAGTCGCGGTAAGTTATTGATAAATTCTGTTGAAGGAAAGGCTCTCATAATTGGAAGTAATATTTAGATCAATTTCGTACAGTTTTGAATGGTTTTTAAATACGACCACTCAATTTTTCAACATTGATTTTAATTAAAATTCACCTTGGCACAGGACATAACGACTAATCTTGTTAACATTCGTAACATTTCCAGGGGGCAGAAGACGTCCCTCAAGGCGGAGAAATCCCAGTCATAGGAGTCATGAAGAGGGAAGTGGTGACGATACAGAAAGACCTAGACCGACTAGACCGAGTCACAGTGAGTTATTGATAAAAACTGTAGAAACAAAGGTTCTTTTTAATTCAGAAATGTATTAAACTTGTTTATATAGCCTATTGTTTAAAGTGAGTTTTTTCAAGCGGAACATGGAATTCATTGGTTACTCAGTTGTAAAATTTGTTAACATTTGCAGGAGGCAGAAGGCCCAGTGGAATGCGTCCTCCCAGGCGGAGAAGACCCAGTCACAGAAGTCCTAGAGAGGGCAGTGGTGATATGGAACCCCCAAAACTGCGTACTCCAATTCCATGCGCAACGTGTAGAATAGTTACAAACCAAGTGAATCAAATGCTTGAGGATAATCCTACTGAGGTAAGTTTTCTTTATTCATTTTCTTAAATGTATTTATTTATTTTTCTGCGTCTTTGGATATGGAACGCTCTTTCATTAGAAAATTTAGTAACATTTACGTTTTTCATATATTGTTATTTTATTTCCTTTCTTTTTGTCCACTTTAATTTCATTTTAATTTTTAATTTCTTTCAATTATTTTCATACAGCAAGGGGTTGTCGATGCTGTGGACACAGTCTGTTCTGTGCTGCCAAGCCATTATAACGTGGAGTGTGAAATATTTCTGGGCATGTATGGTGGAGACCTTGTCGACTTTCTTCTGAATCAAGGGGAACCAGGGGTATTATGCAGTACAATGCTACTTTGCTAAGTGAAGATAGATTAGGTATGGTTCAATTTTGTATGTACAGTATTATCTAAATAAAGGTTGTGTAAATTATATGTCGCAGGCTAGATAATGAAATCCATTCAGATTTGCCCTAGGCAGGATTTAAATTTCAATTTGGCTTTAACAGATTTGAAATCGGTCTAGGCCAAATTAAAATTTCAATTCTGCCAAGGCTTATTTAGATTCTGACTAGGCAAAATTAAAATCTGGCTAGGTTTTATTGAAATTTCAAAATTATAGAAGAAATATTAAGTATATATCATCGTTGAAATAGTAAAAAGCACATTATATACTGTGTATTTATGTTTATTTTGTGTCCTTGTCTATTTTAGATGTAACGGTTTTTCTACACCAGCCTCTGACTCTGCATCGACACTACAGGGAACAAAGAAATGACGCGCTAATATCTTCAGTGATATATATATATCTTGGACCCAACTGAACTGTTTTCAACTTATAAGATAGAAAAAGTAGACTGCAAAATGACCTGCTTGATTGTTTCAAATGTAGGAGGGAAGAGGACGTGTACGTCACATAGGCCTACAAATAGGAGAAGGGTTACACAACAACAAGAAAGTGGGACACAAATACAAATGCTTTGTTTTGCACCAATATCTGTATATTTGTTACCATGATGTCCAAAGTGTTTCCAATATATCAAAAGGGATGCGATGTGAAGCACGGTTTATGACAAGTGATCTTTATGTGTCCTTACATGTTGTAACCGCATGGTTTTTTATGTAGTAAAAAGAAGAAACTAGAATTCTCATCAAGATTGACTAAATGACATTTATACCTCTTCTGTTGTATCAGTTATTCGTGACTTGATCAGTGCATTTATTTCTTGACTGTAACAACAGCTTTTTCAATATTAAAGGAGATTAAATAAAATGATCAGATTAGTTTCATTTGACAATTGTTACCACAGCCTATGCTTCACACGGGAAAATGTAATTCCAAATGCCAAACCTGTACCGCGTGAGCCATCGGGTGACATTGACATATTTCGGCTAAATTGCCTTAAGTGTATGTAGCCACGCAAAAAAAGAAAAAAAAATGACATCGGAAAATNAAAAAAAAAAAAAAAAAAAAAAAAAAAAAAAAAAAAAAAAAATGTGACATCGGAAAATGAACCAATCTTTTGTGCATACAGGGATAGTATTTTACATGCAAGTTAAACCTAGGTTAAATAGTCTATTCACTGGTAAATGACTAAAGAGAAAATATTCTGATCTGCAATTTACAAAATCAAAAGAGAGAAATTCTTTATTAATTGTGCCCCATGACAAACAATACTTATAATTAAGAATTTCATTAAAGAAGTAGAAGTATAACAGCACGAAACCAAACTCCACAAATCGCATCAGAGATTCTAGTACTTAATAGACAACATATACATTAGACAAGGGCTGTTCCTGAAAATTGGACGGTCAATAACATAACTTTTATATCCTCGGCAATCTATATTCAGTTTACACTTAGTAAGGAAAAACCAATGCATAACTGATTATTAAACCAATGTGCCGGTCGCTGAAATCCGCAAAATGGACACTTTAGCCATGTTATCAATTTTCAATTTGTAATTACTTAAATACAAAGAGGACACAAATCGTCAAAATCTATGTATCAACTAACAATATTACTTTCAATAAAATAAGTGATTTTGAAGGTTAAGGAACAATAATAATAAGTGAAACCGAATTTGCTATATATTAGGATTCTTTGGGCAATGAGCTGGCTCTTTCGAATGGGGCCGGGGAACCACGCAAATTTCATTCCGCTCAATTTTCGCACCGAATATTTAGAATACACTTCGAATGCCGTACGAGCGTAGTTCGATTGCTGGTTGAAATAGGATCGAGATGCATTCGAGTTGCATTCTGGCTCATTCTAGCAGGATTTGAAGTGTCTAGCCATTTCGGTTCTCGGTCGAATGTGATAAGAATGTTTCGAATGCTGTCGGGATGCCATGAGAATATTTAGAATGCAGTTATAGTGCAGTTAGAATACTATTCAAATGCCATTCGATAATTTTCCACTTGGAATGCACTTCGAAAGTTTTTTTCACATGGGGCCGGCAACATTCGGTCCGGCAACAAGAATGGGTAAAAATATTTGGAATGCACTCGGAATTTTTAGAATGCTCTTCGAATATCCAGGAACGCACAAAGAATTGTCTTTCCGACGGCATTCTTGCCCATTCCGCCTCTAATGTGACGGGGGTATAACAGAAGGCACACATCTTAACTTGTCTGAAATAATTTATTTAGTGAATCCCCAATTAATGCAAGGCAGACAATGCATAATTCCAACTCGAAAGTAGTAGAAGACTTCAATGTTGGTTTTTGTGCTGGACAGGCCAAAAATCTTGGAAAACGTATAGCAGAAACACTGACAGAGGAGCTATGGTATAGAAGCCCATATGCAGAGAGAGACTGGCTGGCTTGGTGCAGCTGCCATAATGACCATTTAAGGAAGGGCATGTAACAAGACGACTCTCTAACTTACTGAAAGATTCAAAGGTCTGAAATATAGCCTGATTGGATTCTTTTTATGGAAGTAATACTGTTTTTGCGAAATGTTCATTTTTCACATACACATGCTGTACATGTATTGATGTTTTCTTTGTGGGACTTGGAACTCACATGGGCATGAAGCCATATTGTTTCTGGATTGCCATGTTACTTGAAGTAGATAATTAAAATTTGGTGATGATTTTCCACTTAATCATTAAATCATACATAATAGTGCATCAAGATTGACAAAAAACTGTTTTGTGCATGGAACGGCAAACTGTTTTTATTGATTTTTAATTTACAAGAATGATTCGTAGAATTGACATTCATTTAGACAAATAAAACATTCAAAAGGAATTGCTGTTTTTATTAGAAAATTGCTATACTGTGTTAAAACCAATATTTACCATTGCCTAATGTAGTTTTGAAAATGAGTGACCAAAAAGTCATCATTTTGAAAAATATTTTTCCCACTCCGACCTGTGACAAAAATAAAAATTGTTTGGGAAACAAGTAATTAAAAAAAACCTGCCTTACAGTACAACTCCTGTGGCGAAGGGTCCAGTCAGTGTCATCCTCGCTGTCAGCGTTGGCTCAGTTAAACAAGATGTAAACACTGCTTACATGCTCACAGTATCTGAAAGTTGTACTTAAAGCAATAAATACAGCTGAACTCTATAGAGAGGCTTGTGCATGCGTGACAGACACTGTCTGTGTGCGGACAATATGGCTGTGCCTTGGGCAGTGTTTTTTGTGTGCGGATTGTAGACAGGGTCCAAAAGACACACCTTTCTTATGTTACAATGATGACATTTACAGACTGATGACAGTTAAATCTTTAATTAACTGTCCTGGGTTGGACGTACATCTTTTCAAATTGTCAAGTTCCACGCTTTTTGAGTTTTGTCTACTTTAACGTTGAATTGTTTGAAAGTTTAGTTTGGTCACAAGCTAGAAAGTGACACATTCCTTTAAAACTATGCAGCACAATCAGCCAATCAAATGACTGCACGCATTTGAACATTTGTTCTCCTTTTCACTGAACCGTGTCATCAGTAGAACATTTACCCGCAATACTATTCAAATCGCGGGAAACAATTGCACGGAGCCTCTGTGTGCTGGCCAATCAGCTGCACGAGAAAACAAAACTATTAAGCTTGTGTCATAACGTGTGATTCAAGCCGTGCCAGATTTAAAGGAAAGGCAAGGCGAAATTCACTTCAGTTCCAACAGCATGATGCAGAAACTAGTAGTGTTGTTAGCTGCGTTCTTCTTTGTCGTGTATGGTAAGTAAGGAATTTGGACTTATCTTTTACTGAACCAAAGGAGAGTAGGCCTACACGTACTTAGAAGGAAAAACTGTGGGTATCTGAAACCGTACATACTGCAGGTATACATTGTGTGGGCGTGCTAATGCATGAATTTTCGTAGCATGTTAGGGAATATAGGGCCTGTTTATTGAGTTAATTCTTCGACTCGTGATTGGTGTGCAATAAACTTAGTTTTGCAGCTGTTATTAGAGTTGTTACTGCAACGCATTTTGCAACCTGTCATTTATTCAAGTCACCGAAACTGTTTGAAGAACTATACAGATAGAAATAGTATGGAGGTGGGGTTACTTTGAGACCTTACACCGAAAGTTTTCAGATAACATACTTAACTACCATGCTTATCAGACATTTATCCTTGCACCAACCTGGTTCTTGGTCGCATAAAACGGCTCTCATCTGACTCCCCGGACAGTACTTATCAAAAACAGCGTCTTCTGACGATTCCTTAATTTACTTAAACTTTTTCCAAATTTCATTTTTTTTTTTTTTTTTTTTTTGCAATAAATTAGCCAAACTTCTTCACTTTTATCTTCATGGACTTGCAGTTTGATACATTTTGTTTTGCAGCTAAATCTTTAGACGATGATCTCCTTCATCAGCTCTCTGAGGTGCAACACGCAAAGAAACTGAAGCGTCAGGTTTCGTGCGTAGTGTGTGAATTTGCTGCAGAAGCATTGGATGATATGCTTGATGTTAATTCCTCTGAGGCAAGTTTTCTGTATTCATTCATTTATAATTTTGCGTTTTTGTATTCTCCTCCATTAGAATAGTGGTATTTACGTTTTTGATAAATTGTTATTTAATCATCTTTTCGTTTACTTTAATTTCTTTAAATAACTTTTATACAGGCAGAAATTATCGCTGCTGTGGATAAAGTCTGTAATGTGGTGCCAAGCTTATATAGGTCGGAGTGTAACACCCTTGTGACACAGTATGGTGACTCAATTATCGATCTCCTTAATAGTCAAGTTAGCCCACAGAATCTTTGCTCTGAGTTGGGGCTTTGCTAAGGTAAAACAGATTAGGTATGGTTCAATTAAATATATAATGGAAATCTTTATAAAGGTTGGGTTTCTCTCTCTCTCTCTCTTTCTCTCTCTCTCTTATCATTTAGTGATTTCTTGTAAGTATTAACTTCACCTTCAATAACTTTGTTAAGGACAGTGTCTCGAAAGGGGCAAGGGTATTTCCTGTAAGTAATTTTGCTCCGACTGTTGTCTGTGAAAAAGCAGACCCGATTGTGCCGAAGTGTGCTGAAATGGCCCATCTTACGTCCCTCTGTTGTATTCGTGTGTAGGTTTTAAGTGTTTAGTATGTTCTCCATACATCAGCACAGCCGATTTGGTCGATTTGATTCCTTAATGGTCAACAGATGAGTGGGATGTAAGTTCAGTGGATAGAAATCGAAGCGAAAAGAACTAAATCATGAAATTTTTTTAATTGTTCCTAAAAACATTCAAATATTTTTATTTTTCGACTTACTTTTTTTGAAACTGCATAAATGATTGAAAAGGACCTTTCTGGTTCTTTTGACTTAGGGTAAATGTGCTTGTTTTGTAATTGTCTATTTTAGATAAACAGAATGACAAGAAGTAGACAGCAAGAACACCCGATCGATTGTTTCAATTGAATGGGCAGTAGGGAAGAGGGCGTGTACATTATATAGGCCTACCCGGAGAGGGGTACATAACAAGAAAACGGGACACAAATGAAAATACTTTGATTTGCACCATCTTGAACTTTGTATAATTGTTTCCATGATGTTAAATGGGTCTCCTATCTATAAAAAAGAATTTATTAAGTGCCGTCTATGACGTGATCTCTGTTCCATTGTATTTTGTAACAGATGTGTCCTATGTAGTTAATTTAAACAGAAGAAACTAGAATTCTAAATTTCCCTTAGTTTAAATTTATGACATTTATGTATCTTCTTTTGTCAGTTGTGAATAAATGGGTCAATTTATTTATATCTTGATTTTTACAACTGCTTTTTCTTTCATATATTAAAGGAGAGATGTACGTATATGATGACATTTGTTATATCTGACTATTGATACCATGTCCAGTGTAGCATATCTTAATGTTTCATATGGGGAAAATGTAATTCCAAGTGCAAAGCCTTTTTTATTCTGTGTAAAATGTATCTCCGACAGATACATTTGAGTTTTGGGAAAAGTGGTTTTACAAAAATTATAAAATAATTCACCAATTCTAACTGAAACGAACTTGGGCTAAAATTAATTGATAATCTTTACAAATTTTAAGCCGTCCATTGCCCAATTTTGGTACAAAGACCAAATAACCTACGACCGCGTGGTGTAGTTGATACCAATATATCGGCCAAATTGACTAAAATGTATGTGGAAACGAAAAATTTATTACATCAAAAAATGAGCCACAATTCTGAATTTTACTTATGTCCATGGTATTAAATTTAAAGTTCCCGATGACGAAGAACTACT